ACAATCATGATCATCATCATCATCATCATGCTTATTTTTTATTGATATTTGCTTGGTTTTTGGATCCCTACCAAAGCCGGTCTCTGAAAATCCGACTGCAGCTCTGAAGAATCCCCCGAGCCGGCTCGCACGCTGGCGGCTAAATTACCCTGCAATATGTCTCTCAATCGTTCCCGACTTCTGGGCGAACGAGATGAGAGACCAGGGAACCTGAATATCGGCAAACACGCATCCAGCAAAATCCGGCATGCAGTATTGGTAGCAACCACTGGGTCGCACAATATTCGTGCTTCTAGAGCTTTCGAATTCTATTCACTTTCTCTTCACCATCCTGGTCTGCTCCACGCTTTCAAGCTGAAACGATCTCCATAGCTTGCTCGATGAACTGCTGAATCGCACGTTCCAAAAAGAGTCATGACTGTGACAGACTATGACACATTAAGGTACGTGTCAGGCCTCGTCCAACAGCTCAGAGAGTCGCTTGACTCCCCTGTCGCGCATGCGGACCTCGGCACCAGACGTGGGCAGAAGACCCCGATTTTCTCAATAGCCTTCTGTGAGTGTTCTGCGACTTCCTCCGGATGCACCAGGTCTGTGAAGGGGCGGATATGCCAAGCCGCATCGTGCAGCCGCCAACGCCGGATTTGAGTCGCGGGGCATAGGTTGCTGTCCCTGGCTGCAAAGGGAGACCAGACTGTGCAAATTGGCAGCATCTGTCCTGCTTAGTCTGTGACCTTACAGGTCCTAGATCCTAGTTCCAGCCTCAGAATGCATCGAGAGCTTTTTCTTGCAATGTTGAGATTTTAGGTTGCACGGTTTGCTTGGGAGTGCTGCTGCTGATTGCGCCTGTGCTGTGCTCCTGTTCTAGGAACTACAAGAATGAAAAAATCATGCTGTAGTCGCATGTGCCACGGGTGGACTGATGCCCACTGACGCATCATTGTCCCAGGGCGTCTAAGACTCTAGGAATTCACAAAGGATGACATCTACTTGCTCCTTTTGCCGGCGGAATGATGAGTGGAAGATGGTGTCCAATCACTGGCGGCTTTTTTCATTGAAACTTTGTGGTAGCTCAAACGAAAAATTACTTTGTGATTTGTGATGAAATCAAGGCATGTTGTTGACATCTGGTTCATTGCCACAGCCCGTTGGCTACCACGGATCCGGTGGAGTGGTCTGAGGACTATATCACTCTAACAAGTTCTGTGTTGGTTTTACATCTAGTTCTGTACGGAAACAAGTTTCGAAGCCCCGGAAGTACAACTCCCGATCTTGGCCGATTAGGCCCGTGCCAGACAATGCAATGGGTCGACATGGCTGGCGTTAATCAGTTCCACAGACCGGAACCTACAAGTGATTTCCAATTGGCTTGCGAAATCTTGTGAGTTGAAGATCCCGGAGTTTCTAATCCGGCAAGCCTGGTGAACACTTCTTGGACCGAGTTGCGCAAACACTGCCAGCAGCTGATCATCTCCAAGCCCCGCGCCACGCAAGTCGAATACCTAGCTTGAGGGTCCATGACAGTTGCATCGGTTTCAAACAGGACGGACTTCCTCCCTGCATTCCGGTTTCCATCACAAAGCACGCGAGCAACACGAAACCTCCGCGAAACGCTACAAACGTTCCTGCTCCTGTTCGAGCGAACAAAGTCTCAGCCATGTCACATCTCCCGACACGGCATCCTGGATGCGGCTGACAAACTTCGGCAGAAGCTTCCTGGCTGCGCGTCTCAACGTGAAGTCAGAAAGGTTTTCACCATTGAGATTTACAGCTTAGAGAGGCAATGAGGTCGCGAGTAAGAACGAGGGCCGATCTGTGTCGTGCAAGAAATACCACCTGAGAGCATGTTGTAAGTGCGAAAGACCATCGTTTCACGTCAGAGCGAACATGCATCTAGCCTGCAATGCAAGTCCGCCACTTGAACGAATATCATGGACGACATCGTGAGGAGATTGGGTTACAGTTACCGTAAACGCGGATCCAACCCAAATCTTAATGGCAACAACAGCTGCTGCGGAGATTCAACTTGTTAACATTCGTGAACAGTGGCATCCTGCCAGAAGTTAGTCTATCGCTCAGCCGAATTCACAGCATCTGTCCGCGAGCTCTGAGCACACGGTGCCTGGAGATGCATGCCTGCTCGTAGACGGAAAGCTCACCTGCCATGGAGAAGGAGATCTGCAGCTGCTTTCAAGCATATGAGCCCGGGCTTCATCGGCGCTCATCTTCAGCACTCGGCGTGAAAAACTGACTCCGCAGTCTCGCAGTCTGAAATGCATGTGACATCGCGTTTTAGCTGGAAGTTCCCCGGCCATGAGGGCCCGAGGGCCCACAACTTTGCCCGAGAGTCGCTGCGGCAGCCCGTACTCCGAAGTCTCCGAGCGTGGCAGCGGTGAAGGCGAAGGCCTCGGGCACACCACACCAGGTATGCGCAATGCGTCGCAATGCGTCGCAATGTGTGGCAATGTGATGCGAGAGAGTTCTTGCGAGTGCAGCAAGTCAGGATGGGAAGTCGATCAGGCAGCTTCGCGCAGGGCTCCCCACCTTCTGTCCGAGTCAGCATCACTGGCCATTCGGTCCACAGCCTGGTGCGCGAAGCATGACGCTCGGAGCACTATACTTGTAGTGGGTAGCGAATTTACGAAGGCCGGACCCCAAGCCTCTGTGGACAAGGAAGCAAGGGAGAGGTTCACCTGTCCAATGACATGGGTGACGCAGGAATAACTTGGTCAAACCAGAGCTGCCTGCTGAATTTGCCAAAGGAGTTGCTGTCTAGATCCTGTATTCGGACTTGTGATAAAAGCGAGCATTCAGAACAGCTGAGTCAAGCTCGAGGCTTTGACGCAAGTTCGCTTGGCATTGATGTCCTCCTGGCTACTGCTCGTCGTCTTCTTCTTGCCGCCACTGCTGCTGTTGCTGCTGCTTGTGCAATCGTCGTCGTCGTCGCGCCCATGTTGCTGTTGCCAGTGCAGCCGTCTAACTGTATTGACCAAAAGCAAGTGCGGGCAGCCCGGCACCCGTTCAAATTTTGGGATTTGGGATTGGATCCTCAACTATGACTTTAGAAGCTGGAAAACGCCAGCATCCACAGGTTTTTTCCAACCTCTTACAGTAAGCATCAGGAAACCAATTTGCAAAAGCGGTGCATCAAAACCCGATTTGAATCGGTGTTGCGGAGCCTGCTTCCGCTGCCGTCCAGCGCGATCCTGCCATGATAAGTGCAGTGCGCGTCCCATCTAAGATTATCGTCCTTGCCCTTCGGAGAGACAGCCGACCGCATGGCTGGGCTGGCTTGGTCTCTCCCACCGGCTGCGCCGCTGCTCCTCGACCGCTTGAGCTGCAGCGCGGCGCCAGCCCTCCAGACCCGGCCGCTGCGGGGTCGTAGAACCTGAAGTGCCGTGCGGCCACGGGAGAGTGCACCACTGCATAAGCCACGGCTTGCTCTTATGATCGCTCTTGCACAAAAACGAACCCCCCGAGCTCCACAAACCAGTTTCTGCAGCTGATCAATTGCGCACCTCGTGGGTGTCTAGCGCAGTCTTAGTCTTGAACACGTATCGGGGATACAGGCTGGTCCAGCTGATCGACAGGCTGGTACTTGCTGCAAAACTCTAGCTCATGGTTGGGATAATTTCTAAAGTTTAACTTTCTATATTCTTTATTGAGTCTAAGTACCCATAAACATGCCAAGTGTTACCCAACAGTGACAACAATTGGGGAATTGCATCTTGCATGGCCTCGCCCCAGGCCCTAGGAGGCAAGCGAGTCGCGAGTTCGGGCCCATCGCTTGGACCCAGGCGCCAGCGTACCTTCGCCCGGCTGAGGGCAAGCTACAAACCGCTCCGAGAAGAATAAAGTCAAGTTGCTGTAGGCTTCGTGAGGGTCCAGCTTGGGACCTCGCGAGGTGGAGGGAGAAATCGGGTGGAGCTTGGCTCCTGCTGCCGCAGTCCTGGGGACCGAACCCTTGCCTTGTGCCCTCAACTCTAACTTGATTCTCCCCTGCCTAGCTCCACATTGATGCCTGGGTGTAAGCCGCAACTGAGCTTTTTACGAGGGGAATGGCTATGGCCTCCACGGAAGAGAAGTCTCAATTTGCTTAGCAGTTCAGGAGCTACTACTTGACAGTACGATCAGAAAACTTCGATATCCGCTGCAATCCAACCGTGCAAGTACAGTGAGCAACCCAGCAGAAAACATCTTTTGCCAATAACATATGACTTCGAGAATGCTGCCTGAAGCATTCGCCAAAGTGGAGCACCGCACACATGCTGACTCACCACCATAGGCGCCAAGCATTCAGCATCTTCCGGGCACGAACTTGAAATTTCTCCCTCGCTAACTTGCTCTTTTTGCCTTTATTTTTTATGCTCAATCACCAAATCCGTGCCATAATGCCTGACAGTCTACCAAGCTGAATCAAAGGTCAAGAGCGCCGTCGCTGAAACATGGTAGATAACACCAGGACTCTGGATCCTGAACGTTTTAACCTTATTAGCCTTAATTCGCGACCACCTTGCAGCGTATGGTTGAACCTTGTACTCACACTTCCGAACCACTTTCAGACACTTCGTCAAGCTTGTTAGGTTAGGCTGTGAGCAGAGCAGATGGGTGCGTGTACAATTGGCGCGACATGCTTGGCCATGTGCCGCTAACGCCAATTGTCGTTCTTTCTACCTATCGAACTATCGACAGAGTGCATTGTTGTATATGTATACAGTATACAGTATACCCACACTGTGACGTGGGGAACCCAGATACAGACACAGACCAAATGGCTGTTTATGCTGTAGTGCGGCTGGTGGGTGCGGCCGAAGCGGTCGTCGGGGTATCCTTGGATGCAGCCGCATCGGGGCATCGAGTTGCAGTGAAGGCTCGACGCAAAGTCGGGCAAGGTCGCCCAATCTGATGTGTTGGCCGTTAGCCCGCACTGCCCGTTCGACCGATTTCGGGCTTTTGTGCTGCCTGGAGGCTGGGGAATTAGGGGCCTCCCAGCGTAGAGATGCGGTCGATTCTCCTTCCGAGGGCTGCGCTCTGCGTACTGTGCAAGGGTGAGGTGAGGCTCAGGCTTCCAATGGCATCCGCCACCACCAGCAGCAGCGCAGCAGCACCAAAACCAACACCAGCATCAGCACCAGCAAACGGGTTTTGGCCTTTTGCCAGTCGGCGAACCGTGGGCAGCTCTGCACTCTGACTAGTGCGAAGCGTCGTCACGCCTCAGCACGCAGTCAGCCGAGGCTTCCGTACTCACGCTTGTTCTGCACATGGCCCACAAAGGCCCAGGGTCGCTGCCTGTTTGAGGAAGTGGCTGCAGCCCCGCGTTCGACTTCAAGCGAGCCCTGGCCAAGAGCTGTCTCGGGCACATGCAACGGAGTTGACTGCCGCAGGGTGTGCTTAGCTTGCTGCCGCACAATCTATGCCATACTATGAAGCCGACACGCTACATGTGCCAAACCGCTTCTTGGGCCTGCGGGGTAGCGCCTCCTTTCCACTGGGCGGTAGAGGCCCTGCTTGGCAAGGAGAGGACGTTGCATTCGTTGCAGAGGAGACTCGAAAAGATTACGCAATCTTACAGTGACATACACAACCAAATGGAAACTGGAGTCTGCAGACAAGCCAGCAATTAACACTGGGCAGCCAACTGTCTGTATCGGCTTTATGTTCGAGCAACTGCGGTTTCAATATGCTTGAAAGATCCTCCAAACGGAATTTGGACGGTGCAGTCAATCCGCCCTGCCACAAGCACATGTAGCGTTGTGCGGCTGAGGCATCCTTGCATGAAAGTTGTGCCAGCACGGTCGTATGGAGGTAAGCATCTTCCGACTTTGTGAGTGTTCCTGTGCCGCGTGTCGCCCTGTTTTCCAGGTTGTTCGCCTTCGACTCAAAGTCCATTTCTGCCTTTGGCGGCTGTGCTGTCACTCGTTTCTACTGAAAATACATTCCCTAGATCCATCCCTATTCTTGTGGATGGAATCATTGCACCCACTGATACCACGGCGCATCTCGGAGCACTTTGTCCCGTCTCCTGACAGATAATGGTCCCCCGGGTGGCTACAAACACGCTTTCCAAAGACGATCCCGCTTGCTATATTTGTGACTGTCGCGTTTGTGAATGGGATCCTTGCAGTGGCGGCGTCTGCTGCTACTGGTGCTGCTGTTGATGTCATTGTCGTTGTGCTGTGGTTGTCGTCGTTGTGGTTGTGGTTGTGGTTGTGTCTGGTGTTGCTGCTGCTGTTGCTGCTGCTGCAGCTGGTCCTGGGAGCAAGCCAGACACAGGAGAGGTTGGGCAAGCTGTACACTATTCTATGGCCTGTGGCTCGAATGTATCTTCCCAATGAGAGGGCTTGGGTCGGATAGGGGGTGGCCGCGGGGCAGGTTCAGAAGTTGAGCCGTCCAACGTCTTCATTCCCAACACACCGCCCTTTCTTTGGTACAACTCACTGCCAAAGCTGGGTACAGTCATTAAACGGCCGCGACTAGGAGTGACGGCCCAGATGCTTCGTGGATGCACTGTCCCTACGGCCCATCGCTGGAAGGAGCGAGTTAAATCTTGTCGGGAATTCTAGCAGACGGCTCCTCTGAGCACGACCCACCGGCTGCCAGTTCGTGAATATTGCGAGGTTGTCGTAGGCTTTGAGACTTGCGGCGGTGGCGTATTATAGTCGTAGTATGTCGTAGTGCCGACGGCCGTGTAGAGCCGCGGCATTGCTGAAAGTTTCCCAAACTGAAAACAACGATTCCCTAAGTGTTGCTACCGGCGAGGAAAATTAAAACGCATCGAGCATCGCTCGTGCATGAATTTTCGGGGTATGAGCCGCGGCCTTGCCGTAAAGGTTTCTTGATGTTTCTTGCTCTTGGGAAGTGAGCCTGAAGACCGCCACAGCTGTGTACAACATGCTGTGGTACTTCGAGTTACGGCAATCCATTTTCTTTCTGTGAGGGCTCAGGCAGGTCTCATATGAGTCTGTTGCCAACGGCGGCGCTGGTTTTAGGCACATTCCGAAGTTGACTGACTCGCCCGCAAAGAGCAGAGCCCGCTCGCTCAGCGATCAATCAACCTACTATTCATTGCTGTCGTTGTTGTTCTTGTTGTTGTCGGCGAGCCGATTAAACGTGAGACCGCGTACCTGCGGATTTGTATGCCGATCTGTCTCTCACAATCTCCCACAAACCGTTGCTCTGAAGTAAACGGCGTGTTGGGTGATGTCCTAAAGAGGCGGAGAAATTGCATAGCGACCTGTAAGGACAAAGAACGTCTCCGAATGTGATCGAAAGCGAGTCACGCAGGTTCCAAACGCGCCACCCAAGATACACTTGGATTCTACAACCAAAGGAGGCAGCTGTTCTTAACTTGCAACACAATCAACAGGCAACCGCCTTGAGGGCCGAGTCGTGGAGCGGGGATGCCCCCGTGGCTGGGCGAGGGCATCGCTGGAAGCGCGCAGGTGCGCGGCACATGAAGGCAAGTACGGCGGAGGGGCTTACTTTACTTCTCTACAAACTCTGGGCATGTAGCTAATGCCTCTTACGCAACGTCGAATTTGGAGCTTCATGACCTCGCTCGCACGAAATGGTGAGACTTGAACCAGGTAATCCACAGGATTGGAAGCGACAGCGCAGGTCGGCCGGTAGTTCGGCGAGATGCACGAAAGGATGCCAAGGCTGCGTGCTGGCCGAGGGATGCACAAGCACCATCGCTTCAGCTGACACCTGCCCTTGCACCCAGAGCCTGCGGCTGCACCCTGAGAAGCAAAAGCAGATGCCTTGGCAGAAAGCTGATGGAGTCTACGAGGCAAGGCGTGGTTTTGAAAGCCTGGCCACATCGCTGCCACGTCCAACCTGCATCCCTTGTTATTTAGAAGCGACCCGGAGCACAAAGCAGCTGTGGTGTGTGAAGGGTGCAAGCCAGTTTAGTTCCCCTTCTGCAAGAGCTCTAGCATCAGGCCGCTCTTTTTCTGGCTCCCTCCAGTGGCGCGCAGACTCAACTGGCACTCCGTTGTGAAACCTGCTGGAATCTGCGACTTGGATGTACCCGCGCATGTGCCTGACCGCAAGAGGGGGAAGCTAAGGACGACACTTGCAGCCAGAATCGGTTTAATGGTGAAGTTGGTGCGTCTGTCCATGGGGTGTCCTTTGCTCTGAACATCCATCTGTGAGACTTCCTGCTTCGGGCGTGGCTGCTGTGCCAACTGCCCCGTTGAGTTTGTCGTTGACACTGACGGCCTGCGACAACGCTCGGCCGGACTTGAGGAAAGCAAACTTCTCAGAGACTTGGAGAGCCGATCGGCAAATTGGGCACGACATCTTCTTCGCTTCTGCTCTCCGAACTCCGAAAAGTTCCGATCCCAGCAGTTTCAGTAGCATCGCTGGCCTGTCACTCATCTCAGACCAGCACTAGCAGCGGAAGCGGCAGAAACCTTTGCGATTTGCACATGGGTTCGCCCATGAAGAACGCTGCAATTGAGTCATGCAATCCCGACAAGTCTGCATTGCTGGTGCCGTTGTTACGACGTTCCCATTTGCCGACCCTCAGAGCAAAACCGGACGCCACGAGCAATGTTGCAATAATTAACATACATCGATACACGGCTGAAGCTCCCCAGCCCGAGCAATGTGAACACTTCTTGTCCTTTGGATGTCACTAGGACTCTAAGGCGATGGGATGACAACGAGGGCAGGATTCAGTGCGAGGCTTGCAGCCTTTCAGAACTGGTGGGAACTGCGTTGGGTCGACTTTCCCAAAACTTCGAAAAACCGCGTTGAACTGAAGCTGTGACTCCTGGCTGGCAGGATTAGAACCTTCGGGAACTGGCCGAACGCCCAAACTGCCGACCAAGCTCAGAAAGCCCAGCACCAAATAGCAGAGAGGCATTAGAAGAAGTCGAATTTCGCGTGCGATCTTCTCGTTTCTGTTTGCTGACTTTGCGCGGCCTTTGCCTGCCACAGCAAGTTGTCCATGCTGCAGACACTGCAGGTTGCGGCTTTCTGAAGAGCGGAGCTGCGCGCCTCGCAGCTCAGAGGCTCCAAACTCCGGAGATCTCTCCTTGGACAGGCAGCTCGTGCTCTCACACTGGAAAATCCGACAAACGCAGCTTCACGAGAGATTGTGACGTGTGATGCCAGCATCCCCCCGCAAGGGAGCTGGATGATTGTTTCGATATGGCGCAATTTTGGCCGAGCTTCTGCAAGTTGTCGATCTGCTTCGTCAAAACGAAGAACTGTGGAGCGTTCCACTCGTCTAGCATCTGAAGCTTGAAGCCACCTGACCGAAACTGTGGCAGGAAGCGGCTGGACAACCATGGGAGTTTTCGTTTCCAGTGCACCGCCTCCCCCTCCTCCTCCGAGGAGACCGCCGCCCTCGGCTTCTTGCTTGTTCACTTGCTTGGCCTCGGGCATCCGAAGTAAGAGGCTGCCGCACGCTCCGGTTTTCTGCCTACACTGTACTTAGTCTACTTGGCCGAAGAAACGCAAAAGATGTCCCGGTCCATCGTACCTGCAAGATCCACTTGTTGTGGCAGTTTGGCACGAAATTTAGCCACCCCAGTAGCCCTAGCAACGAGGCCAATGTTTGGCATGATAGTCGCCGAGTCCAGCAAACGAAAGGTTGCTCTGGTCTAACCCGCGCATCTCCAGCCGGACTTCTTTATGCTCTCTCCAGCGCTGGGCCCATCACCACCACGTTGCCTGCAGCGGCGCCTGCGGCACCTCAAAGCAGTCGACGTGCCCCTACGAATCTACACCGGCTTCGCATGCACGGCTTCATCTGTGCAGATTGCTTAAAGTTTTGTAGCGTCTCTGCAACGTGTTCGTGCTGACCTCGTTTCGGAGTCTGTGACTTGAGTTCCTGCTTGTCTGGCCTCGACTTTGAATCAGATCGCAACGATATGAAAACCCTTCCTTGGGCTTTAAGCTGCAGGCCTCCAAGCAAGCCTGCCATCTTGCAGTTCATATTGCACAACTCTTTCTCGATGGTATCCACCTTGCTCCAATCTCACAAAGGAAAGTCCAAACGGCTAAGAGAAGTGAGAGAGTTCACTTAATCTCAATGTTTGCGACACCACAGTTTTCTAGCATCCTGGAGTACAGTACCCACGTCCTGTCAGTGCCCTTAGCCTTCCTGCAGTCAGCAGCCTGGGCAGCAGGAAGTCGTCGTCCTACCCTCTATGAATATGCACTAAATCTGGCACATGGGTAGGAATTCTACAGTGACTCTCGCAGGAAGGCGTGCAGCCAACAACCGGTTGAACATGGGAGCGTGTTGGGGCTTGATGCTCTGCACTGTGGGCCTACTCCACTGTGATGCTGCCATTGTTGTTGCTTTTGGCGGCTTCGTAGATCTTGCGGCTTCATGATGCTCTTGCCTCTAGCGCCGTTTGTCGGGTTTGGCTCGGCTCAGAGTTCAGAGCCTCCTTTCTCAAAGGGCAGTTGGCCTAGGGCCCAGGGCCTACTAAGGGCATGGCAGAGCAAGATGCCCAAACCACTTGCGGCTCAAAGAGCGGAGAGGCAATCGGCCAACCCGTGCCCGGTTTCGGTAGGTGCCCACAAGCCTGCTTCTCCATCTTCTTCATACTGTCTTCCTCTTCTTCCTCCTCCAGTGCATCTTTCCTCAGTGTACATCTGAACACTGTTGCCCGGGTTAGGTGTCGCAATGTACTCTGCTTCCATCTACAGTCACGGCATGATCTCCCGTCCAGAAAAGTGTTGGCCTGATCCCCATCCATGGATTATGCAACTCCTTCGGCTTGCCAGGCTGCTCATCCTTCTTCATGAGCATGCCTCGGCTCTTAACGACGTTAACGACTTTCAAGCGGAACTTTGAGGCCTTGCTGCCTTGCTCGCTTCGCCCCGGCAACCGATAACTCCTCACACCCACGGCACCTTGCACGCCGGGCTGCTGAAAGGATTCATGGCTCCGATCATGCCGGAGAGTGCACCTTTGACACCTCCCGGGCACTTGGAAGTACCTGGGCAAGACGGACACGGGAGAGAGTGCCGGGACTTGAAGCAGCTGTTTCACTCACACTCGCACTAGAACACTGAGGCTTGCCTCTTGCAGGCTCCATGCAACTGAACTTCTCCAGCAGAGGTGCAAAGGAGAAAGGCCAGGCCACCACCAGCAGCAGCCCCCCCAGCCATGGCCACGCCTGAGCGGTCTGTCCCGATGAGATTCTTAGAGCGCCTGGGAGCAAGCCTTCCAAGAGTATTCAGTTGTATTCAGTATGCAATCTTCTGAGCCTGTGAAGAACCCAAGAACCAAAAGAGCAAGTCAGTCGTCGGCACGCATCGACATCGACTGACACGACGGCTCAACACAAGTCGGGGTTGTTGGAGGTTGCCATTGCTCCAAGGCGCCGGTAGACACCATAAGTGATGTTGGCTCTTCGGCCTGGTCGTGCGTGCGCTGCGAATGACCGCGTGAGACCACTTGACCACCGCGTGCCCTGATTGAAACTGAGAATCCTGGGCTGTGTCCAAGCGCCCTTTGACCATGTTGGACTTCGATGCCCTACTTGCCATGGCTGTGCTTCCTCTGCAAAGATCCGCTTCCGAAGTTGCAGCGAAGGATGCCCCACTGTTTCAGCAATCGATCATCAAGAGCAAACCGATTCTGGAAAGGTTCGGAACGGTGAAGTCGAATTTGAACTCCGGTCCTCCAAGTACACCAAACGCCTACACAAGTCGGCACCGTGCGGAGCCCCGAACACAGAGGCTTGGACCCGAACCCTGGAGCTGACTCCGGGCCTGCGTGGAGATACCTCCGTCTGGACCGACAACTGTCCTAAGTCGGAGGATCTCGAACTTCATTTCAGATGTCAGAGACTCCAAGACACGCAGCAAAGTGCTGCAGGGATTGGACAGGATCAGGATTCAAGCGTGTCAATGCATCGTGCAAGGAGGCTCCATGGACACTTTGCCGGGACAACATCGCCTACAACAACCCACATGCGTGCGGGGCAAATCCATGGACAACAACATCTGCCACAATGACAAGGCCAAGTTGCTTCAGCACCGGCAGGGTTGCCATGCTGCTTCTAGCAACGAGGCTCGCGCCTGCGGGGCTGAAGCATGTGCTTGAAGTGTTGGGCTTCGCAAGTATAGACTGATTTGAGAACCTCTACCCAAACAGGAGCCCCTCACTCTCTTCAAGGTAAACAATCCAATTCCATAACTTTGACATTCCATATACCTGTAGACTTCCCGACTTCAGTATCCGCATCTTATCCAGTCCACGCCCAACCTCTTTCGGGAGGCCACCGCCCGAAGACACTACATGAAGTCCAGTCTTGAGCCGACTGCCGGATCCAAGCATCCATGTTGACTCATCAGCACGGAGGACGACGTGAAGCAACGGAGTCAACCGTGCTTGAGGCACCTCGATATGCTGCTTCAACCGATCTGCCAGAAAGCTTTAAAGCCACGAAGTGTCCTAAAGCCACGAAGTGCCCAGAACAAATCTGAAATGAAGGCAGTGCATGCGTGCGGTGTAACTCGTCCTATCCCTGTGCCTGTGAAACGCAAACACCTCATCTCAACATTAGCAGAAGCACGATCAGTAACACCGGTACAAAGCACGGGTTGTCAAAACAAAGAACTTGCGTGCGACCAGCGCTTTGCTTGATCGGTTGTACATGTATCTGTACGTGTGTGAATGCACAAGGAAATACCGACACAGTTATGGATCTTATATGTGTGTGCATGCATTTGTGTTTGTATGCTTGTATGTTTGTATGTTTGTATGTCTGTATGTATGTATCTAGGTATGTATGTATGTATGTATGTATGTATGTATGTATGTACGTATGTATGTATGCTTTGGTGTGGCCTGTCCGTATGCGATGACAGATCGGTGCACAATAGGCAAGTAATTTGCATCTCCAGATGCATGTCCCCCCTTCTCTCTGTTCTTCGTTGCAGTCAAGAGGGCGGGGCATGTGTCCGCGTCGTAGCTTATCGGGCACAGCATTGCCGGCTGAACGAGGAGTTGTCGCCACCGAGCTGCTAGCTGTTGCCCCCTGCTTCGAATCGCCTTGACACCTGTGCCTACACTGCAAAGACCGCTGATCGTCCCCGCTTGCAACCGGAGCCGGCGTCAAAACATAGCTGCATCCGCCGTTAAATTGAGAACAGCAACGACTCTAAAAAGCAAGTCGACTATCGGTGCTGTCCTTGCAAGCTTGAATGCGTGCCTCCGTTGAATGTCGCCCCAGTATTGCTTTTCGCTGCCTCTCTCTCTCTATCTCTGTCTCTCCGGTTCTCTAACACTCATACTTGTGTGTACATATATACATATGTGTGTGTATACACGGTGGTATATCTCTGTATCTACCCACCCAAGCCCAGTGCCGGGTGCAACGGCCACGAGTTGGAAGGCGGTATGTCTGAGGTTCAGTGGCAAGGGGCATGACACTGTTGCAAGCACCGTGACGGAAGCCCTTGGTCCTTCCCAGTTGTGCAGGGTAACCTGAATTGCTGGCAATGCTTTGGCTACATGTTTGCGGCAGCACATGGCGTTCTGTTTTGCTCCTTGTATTTCCTTGGCTAATCAAAATTCTCACGATCGTAACGAACTGTGCCAGCTCGCGAGGACAATGCTTATATGAGCAGGACAAGGAGCATAACAAGCAACATGACGAGGCGCACTACAGGCGCTTCGGTCAACACGAGTTCAAGTGCCTGCACGGCTTGGGCTCCACGTTGCACTACGTCGAGCAGAATTGGCTTTGGTGTTCATGCGTTCCGTTCCGGTGCGGGTGGATGCTGGGGCGAAGGGACTTTCAGTTGGTACAACGTTGGCCGGCTATGGTCCTGCGGACTCCTACAGCGTGTGCATTGTGATGACGATACCAACGGCAGGCGTTCCTGACGTGCTAGGTCGCATGCAGCAGCGTGTTCGGAGGACTATCACGTCCACTGCGAGCATTCGGAGCTCAAAGGCTGAAGTGGTCAATGAGTCAATGCTTGATCCGGTGTGCATGTGAGTTTTTATTTCAGTGCATAGTTGGCATAGTGGATAGTGGAAGGCATCTACAATGTCACTTGCTTATCGTGAGCACGCTGTGTGCTCGGGATAGTTCGATCGGCCGTGCTACCCGAGTGGAGCTGCGGAGCGACAATCTTTGCGGCTCCTCAGGAATTGCAGATTTCATGCTGAAAAACTGCTCCACATGACATGCATGTTTGCACATACGCAAGTCACTGTACATGGCATGTAATTCTGTTGGAGCTGGCATGGTTTGTTTCAAGTGACCAGGTGGGGCTTGATCCTGCAGTTTGCCTCCCCCAGCCTTTGGAGGAAGAGGCTCGCCACAGTGAAGCTTAGTTTAATTGCCGGTTTTTGCGGTTTCTGCTGCGCCTAGGTAAACCGGTCCTTCTGCCAATTCTATGTGTGATGTGATGCTGCGGTAGATTGGTGGACAGTGGACAACTTCTCCCTTTGGGGATAATGCAGCCTAGCCTGTAGCTGGCTTCCCTAAAGTTTGGACATCGTTGTACTTTTGGTTTTGTAAGGGGTGGGACAGCTCTTTGCTCCTGGTTCAGTTCAATCCCATTTCCTTTGTGCGAGTCCATACTGGCTTATGCCAGATTTCTGGACCACACACTTGTTGCTCTTTAATTGATGCATGCCTAGGCTGCGCCCGAATCGGACACTTTGCTTGTGAAAGTGATCCACCCACCCACATGCACGCACACTAATACATCCATAAATTCCATGCATGCGTAAATACATGCCTACTTACACTATGTGAGTGTGCTTGTGTGTGTCTGTATCAATGTATAGATCGATAACATGTGCAGCCAATCATGCACTGTGTTGTTCGTGTGTGTGTGTGTGTGCCATGCAAGTTGCAAGTATGCATGCAACGTGCACACGTACATGTTTCTTCTTGCAACATACTCAAGCCTCAAACCCTGGCTTTGGGTGCTTGGGAATAAAGGGTATACCCATAGCATGATAGCATGTTCTTTATGGGTCTCCTGTGTCCCAAGTCTGTTACGTGAAAACTTTCGCGGATGATTGCTTTCCTTTCGCGGACCCATCCCAAATCTTTCGGACACGTTATTTAACATCATAAAGCCGTTTTGTATAATCCGCAGACAAGGACCTTTAGATCAATGCTTAATAATGCTTACATACATACATGCAGCCAGCCAGCCGGACAGCCTGTCTGTCTTCATCCATGGGCCTACCCAGCACATGCAACAGAGAAGCGCGCCATGTCAATTGCGCCATGCATGTGCAGAACGTGACATGCGCGCGACTCCATGCTACAGTCGCGTCCTTCCAACATCCCGTGGCCTATGGATGACGACGGTGCGGCACCGTGCGGCTGCGCCCGGTACCTGACGTGGGCCTGGGCGGCTGGGCGCCCCGCCTCCGCGGGCCGGGCTCCCGCAGGCGGCCGAGACCTGACTCAGCGAACTTCCTCGAAGCGCCCGTGCAAGAGCTACCACCCCCTATCTCCCTCAATGAATCTCGCAGGGCGTCCGCCTGAAACCCACATGTATGCGGTGCAATGCAAGGGGATGCGAGGGCATGCGTCTGCAAGGGCACTGGCAGACCACTGTCAGCACGGCTCAAGACACTATGGTGCAAACCATCAAGAGACGAATCACTGCTCTTGTTTACTTGGGGCTTGCTGCATGCACAAGAAGTGCTCTCAAATCACCAGACATTGTATGCGGGCCCTGCGGAACACGGATCGGCTCCAGCACCCTAGCAGGAAAGTACAAGGCAGACGAGACACTTCTTCCTTCCGGGCGGCTTTGATGGAGCCTGTCGGCAGCATGAACACGCAGACAGAACATAGCCAAAGAGTCGACAGATCAAACCTGCTGTGCAGTGCAGAGCTGCAAAGCTGGATCGGAATCCGGCTGGTGTTTGCAGAAAGGGCATCGACCGGAGCTGGAGGTACTGCAAGCAGGTTATAAAAGTTCATGAAGACGCCTCCGCCACGCTGCGTTCTCGAGACGGAACCTGTGAACAAGCGCAGAGGCTCTAAAAGCACCAACATCGCCATGCTGAGGGGGGCCCGAGGAAGAAGCAGCTCGTTTTCCGCATTTCCGCTCACGAAGCTTTGCCACCGCTTTCAGAGTTTCTTTGGGCACAGACATGAGACCACTGCGTTGTGAGTGCCAGCCCTCGTGGCGTCCGCTGCCTTCCTTTTTATACACCCCTTGGCCGGCACTGACCAGTCCGGGGCCAAAGCCTCCTCTGAAGACATCTGCCGCAGGGCAGGCCTTGGGCTTGGTTTCCGTTGGCGGAACTCCGGACATGTCCGGACTACTTAGTTACTTAGTTACCTTGAGCTGGACTCCTTACCGGTATGACAAGTCTCAACTCATCCGATTCATCTTAGCACAGCACTCCTCGGTTGCCAGCCCATGCTCGCACAAGGAGGGGCTGTTGACAAAGTGCCTTCACGAAGACGGCGCGGTCAGAATGCATGCGCTCGCAAACTTGCATGGGCTGTCCGCGTAGACAAGGGGACCCTCTACCGTTTCTGGACACAGCACAGGTAACCAGCAGGCAAGACTCTGGCCGGGTGCAGAGTCGCTAGCCTTACGCCTTGCTCACTGCAGAAAGAATGATTCGGCTTCTATGAGGACTCTAACCTTTTGCCTTGCAGCCTTCAAACAACCCCCGTGTGCCTGGCGACTGCGAGAGCGTGCTGAGCTTCCTCAGACGAAGAATATGCAGAATAAGGAGAGTCAGTCGAACTGTACACGGCACATCACGGCACGCAAAGCAGCCCAGTGACACGCAGGGCTTCGTCAAGTTCACGCCCCTCATCTGTCAGAAGCTCCTCATGAGCCGGTTAGATAATATGAGAAGTTGGCACGGTGGTAAGGGGTTATGGTCCACGGAGCAAAACGGGTCCAGAACAGAAGAAGCTTGACTTGGCAGACTCGCGCTCAAAACCTGGTAGCCCTCCTTCTGCTGAGATTGTCTGTCCACGTGGCCAACCTTCCCGGTATGCGGCAGGGTTATGCGGGGTCATGCAAAAAAGACGATCCACGGTTCCA